GAGAAGCGGCGACCCGAGGCAGCCGCCCCGGGAAACTCCCGTTTGCCCTAGAGTCACTGTACAGTGGGAGCGGAAAGAAACTTCAGGGAAGTCAAAGACATTTTCAATGTAGTATACAAAAAAAGGTATGTATAAATAAAAAAAGCTGTATAAGGAACCGAAGAGCTTCAAGTACATTAAACCCTGAATTCAATGAGGCAGAGGTTTCCATGTTAAAGTGACTACTTCGTACCAGCGCTGGACACCCCCCTCCCTCCTCCCCCTCCCCACCCACATAGTTCTGTAAAGTTTCAATATATACAGATTTTATGCTCACTGTTAATTACGTCTAGTAATTGTGTCTTTCCCATTCTATCCTGAAATTAAGATACAAGAAGTTTTCTAGCACAAAGGCCAAAATTAAACATTCCAGCCCTATTACTCCATTTTAACCAGTTCTCCCAGACCCTGGCGGCGACCAGAGAAGGTAATTTGCCCACAAAACCATCTTTAACGTTACCCTTCCTGAGCTGCAAACGCCTTCAACAACCTATGGACAGGACGAGCCTACGCTAATCACCCGAAAGCTACAACACTAACGCTTGCACCTTGTGTTCAGAGCACGGCAGCAACGGCCAGCGCCGCAGTGCAGGCCAGAGAAGCTCCAGTGAACAACCAAACCCCCTCAGACACGGCACCACGGGCTGCTGAGCGGGAGCTGGGGGTTGGCCCCAAGTGGAACATTTAAAACAAAACAGGGAAAAGCGTGACGGTGTGTTCCAGTCAAGAACAGCGGATTTCGGTTCCCACCCGAAATCGCCAGCTGCTCTGTGGATTTCTTCCAGGCCTCGGCACAAAACGACCAAACTATCCAATAGTACTTATCTCAAATTAGAGACCACACAAATTTAATTCAGCAGCTGCCTCCCCCTCTGCTGATGCCAATCGATCAAAAAAGTTGGAAAATCTCTTCCTTCAAAAGCAGTCCCGTTACTGTCACTCAGTTCCAGAAGACATGGCTCAAGTGTGCATTTTAACTTTTTGCATTTGGCATATAGAACAACCCCCCCACAGTTATCAAGGTACTTTGAATTAGGCGTCTTCTTCTCTCAGAATGTTCAAGTTTTTCTTTTTTAGACGATTCACCCCAGTAGCATGAATTCCAGCTCAGACTTCTCATTTGTACATTGTACAAGCTCAGAAACCAATCTGCTATTTCCCCTTTTTAAGTCCAAGCCCAACCGTTGGCTATTATTTCTCTTTTTTTGGTGGAAAAAAAAAAAAAAAGGAGCACCTGTAAGACGTTTGAAAACAAAGTTAACCAAGACACCCAGCGGCATGGCACAGGAGCAGCAGCAGGCCTCAGTTCACAGCATTTACACGATTTTAAGCCCCGTGACCTGCGGGCGCTGCGCGG